TAAAGGCTTAGTACACATTTTCCTAACAATTAAATCTATCATCATGTCATCTAGTCTTAACACTTTTACAAAGAATTTTTCTGGAGCAATTCACTCAAGAAATTTACATAATCTTCTATTTTATCAATCAACTTTATTTCTTTCCATGGAGCACAAAAGGAGATGTTAGGCAGAATGTCTAAGCTGCTCTTTTGCATGCAACAAAAGTGGATGATTTATACCACCAAGCTCCAAAATGGATTAAAATAAAAGCACAATAGAAGTATCATAAATATCAAAAGTATCACGGTTGTGTAAATCTTTGCTACTCCCTGAAATTTTAATTCTCCACTATAGCTCTCAAATGTTATTCTCACATCCAAGTTTGCATATTCAAACTTGGCACGTCATGTTTAGTTGTGAGCTGGGTGGGAAAATTATCACCATCACCAGCCAAATGTGGGTAATTTTTCACAGGGGCGGGTAATTTTGTTTTATTTACCTGCTGGGTGTGTCAGACGACTTGTGTTGGATTGGCTTTTGACAATAAAATGCGTTCTTGTTGAAGTAATGTCTTTCAGCATGTCACTAGCAAAAGCAGAAACAGGTTCTTGTTCACTTCACATTTTGGTCTGAGTTTAGTTCTTTTAAAGTTTTTTAAAAATCCACAAGATTTTATGCTTTGTACCTGTATTCATTTTCATACATGTAGTAAATTATGTTGTTTAAATTCAAAATTCTAGAATAAAAATGGTTGGCAAAATATTTGAGTAGCTGGCGTGATGCATCTTGATGTGCCAAGTGTAAATATGTTTGTATGTGTGAGTGAGATTTGAGACCCAAAGAACAGGAAGATTATCAGCGAAAAGATATTGTATTAGAAGACTTTTTAGGGTGCTGTTTGAAGCATCACCATCAACATTCTGCCTCTTTTGTCCATCTTTTGTGTTTCATGAAGGAAAATAATACGGGATAAGAAAAACTTTAGGGTTTATAGATAACAGAAATTTCATTTTAGATGAATTATTCTTTTAATAATGTGATTTTAAGCTGGCTGTTCTCTGACTATGAGTGTAACGCTGAGAGTAGTACCAAGACGAGAAGAGGCAGATCCACGTGCAAGCAGAGATTATTAAATAATAACAAAACATGAATAGACAGGACAACAGGAAACCACTGGAGACAAGGAAACAAGGAACACAAGCATCTACATGAGACAACGACTCACAAACAAGCACTGAAACACATATATACACATTATATATAGGCCTATAAGGGGGTGGAGCTAATCAATCACTAAGGAAACTAACAAGGGAAACCATGGCTTTATCCGAAATCGCCCCCTATACCCTCATTCACTATTCCCTTCATTAGGCCACTAATAGAGTTCACTTGAAGGAGTGAATGAAAACGAGTGAGTGAATTCTTTTACGATTAAAGGATTTATCTTGAACTCTGTCGTGGAAATTATGTATAAACCCTAGTTTAACAAATTAATAATCAATTTACAATGAATTTATACCTGTGTTGTATTACGCTGTATTAAACACTGTGGACAAGCGCTTTGGATGATGGATGATTCAGCTGCAAGTGCCATCTTCTGGTGAGACGTGGCAATTTATTCGGTGCGCGACTCTCACAGTGCATTATGGGTATTATCTAGCCATTGAGCGTGCACCGGTTGTAAACTCATTTTTGTGGTGCATTGTGGGATTGAATGAGTGTACTCGAGAACGTCCACTATGGTTTCGGACACCACTACAAATGGCTGTCCACTCAAATAGTGCCCTATTTAAGAGTATAGGGGGCGATTTCGGGATACAGCCCATGACAACAAATAAGGTGCGCAAAGGAACAAGGGAAAACAGGAACTAAACAAGGAAGTGAACACAGAAACAATGGGTAACAGAAACACTTCAAAATAAGAGTCCAGAAACACGAGACAGGGGAGTACAGACTGGGATCATAACAATGAGTCAAATGCTTAGTGTTTCAGAATCGAATCATGTAACGCCCTAAAAACACGTTATGAAACTCTATACAGAGGCCTGCTGTCTGCCGCTTTAAATGCTCAAGCTCAATAAAGCCGAGTGGATTCTGATTGACTTTCAGTGGTTTTATGATTCATCAGCTTACAATCGTTCCTCTGCCGTTATCATTATTGCTGTGTTGTGAACTTCCCCACTCCCATAGAATTAGAATGACAATTAAAACTTCATAGTTATCGTCCTTGTTGTGAACGGCCCATGAGACTGTGAGAGTGTGTGTGGATGTAATGTACTCACCTGAAACATCTGTCGTGATGACAATACTGAAAAACACATTAATACAGCAGGAATATGTTGTAGCGCACTACACAAGCTCCCAACTGCCTACGCTCCGCTTGAATAAAATATTCATTAGACAGACTACACAGGCTATGCGATCTTGTTCATGACTCCAATTTTGAGCAGAATCCAGCTATGCTTTCACAAATACCAAAATTACTCTCTTTTTTTAACTCCTGTCTATTCTTCCTCAGTCTTGTTTGAGGGTAGAGACATCAGAGAGAAAACCAAAGAAAACTCATCCCAGATGTGCAGTTACAGTAGGTGAGATGCATGCATGCATGTACAGATGTTAGAAGAGAGGACAAAACATAATTTTAACAGGATTAAACTGCCAGATCTGCTCCAGCCAGTAGGTTTATTAAGACATGCCTCCCTCTTACCGTATAACAATGCTTTATTTTCTAAAAGCTCATTGCATCCCTGTTAACCACAGTGTCAGTCAAATAAACAAGGGCCTCTGAGAGCTGTGTGTGTGGGGGTAAATAGCTCTAGAAGTGAGCGGCACCTCTCCACAGCAGGAAGACACACACAGACAATTACACTAATTCATAATTGAAATTAAAACAGCTAAGGGGGCAGACCTCCGGCATGTAGTATGGTTTCACTTTGCTTGCTGTCAGTTTTCTGTACTGTTTTGTCCCAATTTAGTTGTTCAGTCTGATGTCACTGTTTCTGGGTCAAAACACTCCTCCAGATGCCAAAAACCAACAATAAAACATGCTCATATACACTAACTTTTAAAAGCTCGGCTTAAAGGTGCGCTATAAATGAACAGTCCTCATAAACGGCTGTTGAGATAGTGTTTTCACTTCAGTATTTGATATGTCACAACTTAACAAGCAGATAACAAATGGACCAAAAAACAAATCTTTAAAAACTGTTAATGAATTACAAAAATATTTGATCACAAGAAAAGGGTGCAAAATTTAAAAGAAGAAAAATAGCATGTTGTCATAAAAGCCCTTGTTAGAGAGTGAGAGACAGAAAGAGCGAGGAGAGAGATATATTCATGTGTGTGAGAGAGAAAAAGCCTTGTGAACACAGCTATGCATAGCATAAACACAGGAAACCAGAGAGATGCCGACATCTGTACTCTTTTAGATAAAGCATTTTAGTACATTAACTCTTTAACCGCCATGTGCAGAAGAAAATCTGCCTCAGGAAGCCGTGGGAATACACTGTGTATAAAATAAGGAAAACATAAGTCTAATTCAATGAATTTCCCAAAGTTTAAACATAAAGTGAGGAGTACATTGAAAACATTTTATTTAAACCCCATTTTATAATAAACAGTTTTGGTATGTTGAACATTTTAAAAGATATAAGTAATTATGTATAATCAGTGTTGGGGGTTACTTTTTTCAAGTAACTAGTAAAGTAACGCATTACTTTTTAATTTACAAGAAAATATCTGAGTTACTTTTCCAAATAAGTAAAGTCAGTTACTTTGTTTTCCCATTTATAGATTGACAGATTTATAGATTGTCCCCATTTTGAGAGAAATCTGGAGTAAATGCAGAGGCGTTGTGTGCGCTGTGTGAACATGATGCTTACTGTAGTTCTAGACTAAATGTGAACATGCAAAATAAAAAAAACAGAGTATTTCCACAAAATGAATAAAAATAGTGAAATGCAAACTCAGAATATGACATTTTTAACCAATGTCTTTGCTGCTGACCTTCGGTGATTCAATTCAACCATATACTAATAAACAAAAATGACTTTAGATAAACATAACATTTGTGTTTCGTTTCTTTTTTTATTGCTGAAGAGTGTTGAACTTTCTTCTCCTGCATCATATTCTTCCTGCAATCCAGAATGGCAGCACAATTGAAAGGCTTGTTTGAGCTGCACCCTCTACTGTACAGACGTGAATTTGCATTTCGTGCAGTCTGAGGCTTATTAATTTCACTTTTGGGGTGAAAGGACTTTTTACATTTGCCAAAAGTAGAAGTTTTTACATATGAACAAACAAGCAAGCCCAGCCTAGATGAGAAAAAGTAACACAAAAGTAACGTAACGCATTACTTTCCATAAAAATAACTAAGTAACGTAATTAGTTACTTTTTTAGGGAGTAATGCGATATTGTAATACATTACTTTTAAAAGTAACTTTCCCCAACACTGTGTATAATGGATAAAAAAAAGTCAAAGATTCTGCACCAAGTCGCTAGTAGTAGGGAAAGTTATAGGGAAAGTTTCTAAAAAAGTGCATGTACAACATTAGTAGTCCTGCAACATTAAGCGTAGAGGTAATTTGCAGTATTGAGATTAAATTAAATATGAATTGTTGGATCCAAATAGAGGTGTGTCCTTGTTCCAGGCCATGTCATCCAAATCTCACTCCAGCCAGCCAATCCATATTTCTATGTAATAAAGTGACAGGGTTGTCAGCTTTTGCAACCCTGGCACTGCAACAGAGTTTATCTTCTATAATAAAATATTTTGATGCCAGTAGCTGTGGTTAAGTACCCTCTGCATATAGCCAACAGAAATATTTACATCCAAGAAATTATCATGTCAGCGTTGTTTTGCTGTAACTCGTAGCGTGTTTGCGAGGGTTTTTTTCAGTCCTCTCTCTCTCTCTCTCTCTCTCTCTGTCTCTCTCTCTCTCTCTATATGCGTCATTTGGAATGGCGTCACGTGGGAGTACAAAGCAACGCTCGCGCTCTGCCCTTTACAAACGATTCGCGCCTCGGTCTCGAGCTCTCCGCCTCTGAGGAGATACTTCACAAAGAACACCGGTATTTGTTATTTATTAATTATGCAATCAAATATGAGCGACTTTTTTGTCGACGCGAACTCGTCTGTTTGATAGGATTATTCAAACATCTGAGTGAAATCACGCTCGTCTTTGTACTGTTTATTATGGATTCATAGACTAGAAAGGGGGGCTGAAAGGACAAACTTGTTCCGTTTAGAGATATTCTCTGTTTCTTTGTTAAGAATCGTGAAGTTTGTCTCGAACGCGCGCGCTGGGCTGAGATGGAGAGCATGAGTGCGCTCAGAGGGAAGTTTTCTCTCCAGACATCCAAACAAAGAGCATCTCATCGACTGGATTATGAAACTACAGAAAAACAGCTTTCAAAGCAAAGTATTAGCGAAAGTGTCCTCCGCTGTGAAGCGGAAATATGATGCTGCGCGTGAGATCTGCTTGTGCGTAATGGACACATAACATCAGGAGGAGGATCTCAGCAGACAGGTGTGTGTTATCGGTCAATACAACATTCATGTTAAGCTTTATCATTCACTGAACCGCAAACCAGTAAAAATATATGTGGATTTAGTGAAGTGTAGATCATAGCAAACGCGTTTTCGTCATTACGCACAGATTTCAAATTTATTTCTTCACTTCTGCCATTTTCTCACAGTTATTCTTATCTACTTACATAGAAGTGGTTCTCTTCATCTGTATGATGCGGTAAAGGAAATGTTCAGCAGGTTTGTTAAAGGTCAGTATCTCTCCATCCGACAGATGAGCAGATGAAAACAAGACCAATATTGGAGAGCATATGATCGATATGATTGGGCCGCAGAGGACTTTATTACTTCTGCCTCCCACACACACACACACAATGATCTGTGCTTATGAACAACAGATGATCGTGGGTAGTCATATATATTCATACAAGCATCTAGTCAGCCTTAAGACAATCTCTCAATTTATAAATGGATTTTAATTCATAACAAAATGAATAATATTTAATATAGTATAAATATTATACTAAATAATATAGAATGATTTTCCCGGGGTTTAACACAGAAAGCCTCTTAGATGGAGAATTCTTTGCTAGATAAGTAACTGTTTGCTCTCTTTTTTTTTAACCAGTTTTTAGTATGAGATGAATATTCTCCCTGTTTACTTTCTTAATTCATGGTTTGAGGCTTCCTGTAGGATTCTGTTTAGTTGTGATTAGGGATGCTCCGATCAGGATTTTTGCAGCCGATACTGAGTACCGATTTCTTGTCATGGTGATCGGCCGATACCGATGCCGATTCTGATGCTTCAAGCTTTATATAGACGTTTCGTCGGGCGCACGCGCCTAGCCCGAAGTTAACTTCCGGTCTGTGTGTGTTTATCAGTCTGGCTATAGCGCCGGCTACAAACGCAGTTAAAGTTAAGGTGATGAGTAGACTGAAGTTGGGCTCAGGTGGTTGTGCTGTGGGATGTGTTTCCCATACATTTATTTATTTGTGGCGCTCACCACAATATCAAAAATAACCGGTTTTCCAAAAGGCTTCGTTGAATAAACATGAGCACGTACTGCACGTTTAAAAATCAAAACGAGGCCTGGGTGTTTTTATATCACTGTATTTTTGAAGGAATACTATCTTTAGAACATTTTCAATGTCATTTTCATTTCATCTCAGATGTTATATGCCTGATAAAGCAGCATTTGTGAGCTCAGCTTAGGGTTGTGACGGTGAGGAAATTTTCCTACCGGTTAATCGATGTGTGACAACACCGGTAATACCGGTACCACCGTTGGGG